GAGAGTGAAGCCATCACTTCATAGTGTTTGTTTTAAATCCGATCATAACATTCCATTTCCTCTTGGAGATATTGTTAAATATTAGTTATGGTTCTTATCATTAACATTTCATGGATTGACTACTACATTAGTTAATATTATGGTTTCATTGTTAATCCTGCGCCATATTTCCTTACTCATATTACCAATTCATATATTTATGTTTTTATATAATCCATCCCTTTTATGATATATAAGATTTCTGTTTACAGTAAGTATAATTAATTACAGTTTAAATCATCTAATGAAATAATCCCAAGAGGATTTCTTGAAGCTGTAAATAAGCTATTTTCAATACATTTAAATATTCTGTGTGTAATAACTTAATTTCACGAGCGTAATTTAGAGTTCAGAAGTATATGGTGTTAAAAATCTTAATAATAAGTCAAGAGAACATGATATCAATCAATGGCAAATAGTTAATGACATTATTTAGATCAAACATTTTGTCTACAGATTAGACAGCAATAGGTTCTAATTTTCGAGAAAGTATAACATTTTTTAGCGTCTTCCTTTATGGGAAGGGGTTAAGCGCTCGCGCGCGAGACTGGTAGGTCCTGGCTTCGAATCTCGAGGAGTCCCATACTAGGACGGAACGGCCGTCCAGTGTTTCCAGGTTTTCCATGGTGATCTAGTTTCAATTGACTCATGATTTCAACTATTGAGGTTTTCTTCTTTACCAGTTTATAACAACACTTACGATCCTTAGGTTGTATAGGGTTTCTTGTCAATTACTATTGAAGACTACCAGACCAACACGTTGTTGATTCATCCTATTGATAGAACCGACAAAACTCTCCAGTAGAATCTGGTTACCTACTAGTATAACATGAATGTCATAAAATATCGTGTAACATACGTTTGTGATTCGAATTTCTGTATATACGCGTACATATTTATTGAAAATTAATTTTTATAAACCTCTGTTAATTAATACAATTTTCTTTATTATTTGCATGATATTTTACTCTTTTTTCTAAATGCATATTTGGTTATATGCATGGTAATCATAGACGTTTAGCCTATCTGTATGTGTTGCATTTGTCCTTACGCACTATCTTTTTATAGCAATACTAAATTTGACAAGAGGTGGAATGTTTAAAATGAATCGAATTTTATTATAAGCATTTTGCGTTTCCCTGAGAGAGAAAGAAGAATATATAAGAAAATTGATACAAATTTTGTATCCTATAAAAACTTTTTTGACATAGTTTGATTTTCCTCGTTTAACTCACTATATCCTATGTACTTTTAAACAAAAATGTTTACAGCTATTTTTTTTTGCTTCATATATTGCTAACGTATGACTTTTTTTCAAAAAGCTAAAAACCGAATTTGCTAAGTGGATGGCTTTTATTGATCTAAAATTGTTTTCCTACCCCTTAAAGCAAAGTTTCTTTGGAACTGACTGGATACCATAGTATTCGTGGATGACGTATTCTCATCCATTTAACAGTAAAGTTGTATGATTGAGGATTGTGCTTATCGACATTGTATGGCTTTTAGCAGATATATCCCGCTTCAGCTAGCAATATTAGCTTGTCATCAAGAATTACATTTGTCGCTTCCGTCCCATCCGCTCTTCTTTGTTTGATGGTTAGTATATTTAAGATATATGTAGCTCCCATGATATTTGACTAAGTGGACCCGACTACTACATTAACATAGCAGCTACGGTTAGTTGACCATACCCCAGTTGAGGGGATGGGTATGTGTATCAAGAACAAATATAACAGAAGTTTTTCGTTGTAGAAATATAGAAAGAAAATTGCAATAATTGTATCCAATTACACACCTAACCAAATTTGGCACCTCGTCCTTCAATGAATAAACTCAAATCCGACGTTCATTATTAAAAATATGGTTTATAAATTTTATTAACGACGTAAAACTACCTATTTTTTCAGTAGCTTCGAGTGTTTTTTTACTTTCTTGGGATTATTTTTAGCTCACTAAAAAAACAATTATGATCTATAAAACTGAATTTATCTGTTTTTAAACAAGAAATATCTTACTGTTTGAATCTTTATCTTATTGTTCGTCTAACCTAAACATGTGGTTTTTAAGTGTATGATGTTTTGGAAATTTGGAGTTTCGTATTTATCGGGTGTACGATCAGATCTAAGTGTATTGTGATAAATCTACAAAACATCTGATTTTTCTTTCGAAAAAACTCCCTGAATAATTACGGTTTATTATTTTGAATACGTTACACGCAAGAAGTAGACCTCATGATAGAACAGTCACTCATTCACTAGTTCGATTCAAAATAAATCAAGGGTAACAAGTTACCATACGTCAGTATTTCGGAACCGCTGTTCATTATTGTACTGTTAGCGTCGTTCTCCTACATTAGATTCAGAATAGTTACTGAGATTATTGTAATGCACGATGGATATCAAAAATTTATATATATTGAAAGGATGCAGTTCAAATTTAAATTTATCTAACAAAACATAAATGGTCATTTATTTTTACTAACCCTCAAAAATATATGTACTGAGTCATCAAGTTCACAAGTTTGTACACGACTATACACTACAGCACAGCGTGCTTGGTGTCACGTATTAACTGGATTCGTAATCGATTTTCGGTTCAAATTTAAATCGATTATACTGATAATCAAAAAATCCCAAATTCAATAGGTAGTGAAATCCGAAATAGGAATACTAGTGGAGCATTTGACACTGCCAAGGTTAGCATGAATTATTATTTAACAATATTTTCTTGTTGAATGAGAATTTAGTTTTGTAAATGATATATCGTGCATGTTGTTTATTTATATGAACCACTTGTAGTAAATTTGAATAATGCTTACATGCTTTTCTTTACACTTCCTTTTGGGAATGTACAGGCACTATTTGATAAATCACGCTGAGATAGGCCACGACAGATCACAAGTTTCAAATCAAAATTCACCTACTGAAGATACCAACTCAAACAGAACAAATTTAAATGATGTGCAAAATGATACAACTGGAGATGAAGCCTTGTAAGTGAGTAGTACTTTCTTAAATAATCATCCAGTTATGACCAGTTTTTAGTAAATATATCCTGTAGTTTAATGAGATGAACTAACTAAAAGCTGCTTTCGTTCAGCAGCTATTTTTAATAAAACATTTGCTCAGCCGAAGATATATAAAACTCCGCCTGTAGTTCTTCTAGGGTTACTGGGATTACAGAGGAATCACACTACTATCAGTACCAGGAAATTTTTCAACAGAGTTCGGAGATGACCTAGCTCTTCTATCCCATATACACCAACAGATGCAGGTGAAGACAACTGGTGTAGCAGCAGCCTCTGCAGCAGTAAGCCTCAACATGCATAAGGGACAAACCAAGATCTCCAAATACAACACAGAGAACACCAATCCAATCACACTTGATCGAGAAGCTCTGGAAGATGTGGGAATTTCCACGTACGTGATCAGCATCATCTACGAAAAAAGAGGATCTGATCCAGACGTAAGGGCAGCACTCCTACAGTTGAAGAACATATGGAACTCAAAACAAATGTCAGCCAACACTAAAGTCAGAATCTCCCATACGAATGTCAAGACAGTTCTAGTGTATGGAGCCGAAGCTTCGAGAACTACCACAACCGTCATTAAAAAAGTACAAGTATATTTAAACAATTACCTACGCAAGATACTCAGTCCTGACGGGAAAATGTAAAGACGAAAACCAAGGGATATATTGCGTCGGGAATTAAAGACGGATATAAAAAAATAGCAACTGGGAAGGATTTCCTAGGACAGATTTTGTTAAGGAATGTTGGTGGGTGGCCTCTGCTACTCTACCAGGCTCCAGTAAGTAAGTAATAGATAAATAAACAACTTACAGGGAACTTTAAAAGTCAAAACGCTAATGCTGAACTATTCTATTTGAATTATCTTAGGTAATTGTTATGAGAATAGATCATAGTGAGTAGGAAGCATGTTTTAACCCCTCGACATTAAATGCAACTAGTCATTTTCACACCTTACCTTGCATCAAAACACAACGGCCATTTAGTTTTGTGTTTCACTCATTTTCATGTACTTGAATAAGACATTAAACTATTAACATAGTCGTTCGAATGTCTGTCCATCATCTGATAATCTGATCCCTTTGTCTTGGTACTTATAATGAGATATAGCAAATTTCAATGCGATATACCCGCTGGTTTTTGTTACCGTACTTATACATATTATGAATAAGACTCATTGAGTCTTTTGAACCTCCACGGAATAAAGTAATGTCGTTTTCGGACTCACACACCACTCATTTAATTTTCAGCTTATCTGAATTAGCTTAAGATAAGTTACAACCTACCATCAAACTGAGAATCTACACTGGAAATACAAATACAACAACTTCCTGGTAAATATACACTATTCTTCAAGGTTGATCTTATTCACTGAAATATTTTTATGGATAAAATGAACAGTTGGCAAAAATCCATGTGCTTAGTTGACTTAACTTATGAATAATTCTAACCTTTGCTTTTTAAATAGAGATGTAGAAACTGGAGGTTCTGACGGGACTGCAACAGAAAACCACAACAGTAATCCACCTTATCTACGAATCGATTTTTGCCGCTTTTTAAATGGTGTTAGTAATACTATTATTGGAACCTCTACTGGTTGTGAACATAGTAACGAGGATGAAGATACCCAAATCAATGAAATTCAAAATACAAGTGCATCTGTAGATAACGAATCAACAACTGATGAACATGTAAAGAACAAATCTACACCTCACAAAAAACGAAAGAAATATTGTTGGGTTCCCCCAAGCTACACTTACAAAGAAGAAATGGAACGTATACTTTCTGAAGAATTACGTTTTGGAAAGCCTTTAATTCGATCTGTGATTACATTGTGAAGTAGATTACTTCAAACTTATTTCATCCTTTCATTCAGATAGATCCTATTCACAAAAATTAGTTATAATTTCGTAAGGCATGTTACCAAGTCTTTATAAACTATTTATTTGTACTACGTAACTCATCGACAAATTTTTAAACTTTGTCATGTTCTTTCATCTTTTCATGCATGAAAATAATGTAGTTTATGGAAAATTTATCTTTGAATAGGATGATTAAGGAAATTAATTTCACATTACAAATATACTATTCAATCTTGCGTTTTTTGCTTAGCGCACCGGGTACTTCACTTATACGACCTCTGTAAGGATTCCATGGCCTAAACCACGAGCTCCTGAAACAAAAACAATATATATATATATATATATATATATAGAAAGAGAAACATATTATTATTATTAATGACACAATGATAAAAAATATTTGACCGTATTTATTGGATAAACTAATACTACACAGACATCGCAAGAGGTGAACAATAAGGATATTCTATCATAATCGAAATACTTATTGCAATGATTATTAAAAATGTATAACCACGTAACAGTTAACAAATTTCCGGAAACCAGGTGGTCAGTACCCTCCGTTACACCATACGGGTTTAGTGAGGGTGACTAACTACGTCATCTATTTGCATAACGGTTCGAGGCTCACAATTGGTAAATACTTTAAGTGAAATACAAAACGTATAGGTCCAAGTTTGTGACTTATTTAAATGTCATTGAGTCTGACATAAAAACCACCAATTCGCGAAAGATTTCTGTACAGAAGACCAAAAGTGTTCTTTTGTAAATTATAGTCATCTACTATGGATTAATTTGAGCTATCTAGTTTTAGAACGTATATCAGCGAATAATAATGTTTTCGATAAGATCCTCATCAGGCTTTACTCTAATATACAGTAATATTTAACAATTCCGTATTTGCATATAAATATTATTGTATATTGGAGTAAAGCCTGATGAGGATCTAATCGAAAACAATATTGTCCGCTTACATATGTTTTTTTATCTAGTTTCGTTCAACTGCTTAAAAGAGAATTCAGTGCTTTCTTTTTTATTTGACAGTGTATTAGGTAAAACTGAAGGAACGAAAAAACTGAGTACACTTACTTATCGTGAATATCAACATGTTCTGCATTCTTTTCTTTGTTGCAGCCTTTAAGCACCTTATAAGCAAGGCGTCTTTCACCACGCCGACGACTAATCGAACTGTCTAGAAGTTGTTTCCTGTCAGCTCTTGATTGCTTACACATAAGATTTATTCGCCGTTTCTTCCATTCATTCACAAGTCTTTCGAGTTCTTCATCGACTTCAGAACCACTTCTTTTCATCACAGATAATATCCCATCCATATGCGGGAGATCAGAATCAGTCCACAAGGTAATAGCCCGTCCATGGTGACCAGCTCGGCCAGTTCGACCGACGCGATGTATATATTCCTGTTTTAGCGGAGGAACATCGTAATTGACTACCATACTGACACCCTAGTAACCATAAAATATATTTAAAAATTCTGTAAATATTTAGACAATTAAAGATATGAGAACAGTGAAACTATAGGTGTTGGTACTCGAAGCACACAACTGAGTAGTAAACTTTCATTTATGTACACTGTAGATTCATCCTTTCAAGAGTGCTTCTCTACAGTATTGACTACCAATTAAGAACAGGAATAATTGATGTCAAAATATAAAGCAGAACAACTTAAATAAATGCACAACATATAATGAGCAATCAACATTTGATTCTAATGGATTTCAAGTGTTGCCATTATGTTTGACGTTGAGTGAGTGAAAATAAAATGTATTGAGAGTAACGTTAATGCAAGTATTAAACACAAAAGCCGTGTAAAAAAAACAATATAGTGGTCCATCCTGATGGTAATAATAATTTGGAGCAAAATGCTGACGTCTATGAATTTCAACGTGTTCGCCCTAAAACGTTTTCCTCCATTGATTCAGGTAGAAAGTATGTCGCGCGTCTTATCAGCGGTTGTTTATTTAAGAATATAAGGTAGGTTTGAACGATATAGAGTTCGGAATGGCTTATAACTAACCATTATCCAAAAGCGGATCATCGAAATGTGGACTCATTAACAAGATTCTCAAAGAAGTGAATTCATAGACTGGGAACATTCAAAGACACAACTTAGGAAGCTTCACGTTAGACCAGCATACGTTCTATCCGTTCATACTTTGTATATTTATTGCTATAAACATAAGCGGTCCCTTGAAATGCCGTGCAATTAATAAACCTCAACTAATCCTCAAGTAGAAATGTTCTGCATCGTTACATGCTAATGATGGTTCGAGGGGATATATCGAGCACATGCAGTTTCTTCTAGTATACATTTAACACATGATGGTGAGAACTCTTTACTGTAATCAAATATAAGGCGATTATACTACCATTAATCGAGGGTCAAAATGACATAAAGGTTAAAAAGATTATATATGATGAGTCTTTCTGACAGAGTTCATATAAAAAACGTAAATCAATCAGTTTAATTTCAAAAACATACTTTAAAGTCTATTCCACGACCCAATAGATCCGTACAAATAAGAACATGAAGCTGTCCCTCACGGAAAGCGCGAATCACACTGGCACGCTTTAAAAAAAAGAAAAGCTTCATCGAATCTATTAAGTAGCCAAAAATTAACAAATGATAACCATTCCATTGACTCACGTGTTGAATAACATTTGATAGAACTATAACCATGAATATGCAATTTATCGTGCTAATTTTCCGTCATGGAAGTTGCTAAATTGTCAAGGCACTGAACTTCCAATCGTTAGTTCGCGAGTTCGACGCCGCTCCCTCGATATATTTTGGTCTGGATAGTCAAGTAGTGTCAACGCGCCTTGTAAAAATATGCGACTCAAAGTTGAGTACGTAAATGTATACCAGATAAAGTTAATAGGACATATTATAGTGATTCTTCACATTTAACTTGTCCAAAGTCATTTATCATTTATACACAGAGATATTGTGACAGTGTTTGTCTCTACTTAATGCTATACACATTTTCTTACTATGATTTAACCTTCTTCTTGGGTGAGTGGTTGAGTTGACGGCGAACAGTATTTTACATTACTTTTATTCAAGGGATACCTAAACATATTAATAAGGATCAGTGATAAAGCAAGAAACCAAATAGAATATATGCAGAAGTGATAAACTGTTCGTCACAAACTAAAATCAACTGTGAATAAACAAATATAAAGTCTACAGAAAATTAAATTCCCCCAATTACTAAGTAACTCGTCTATAAATATATGACTGAGTGGCATTTAGTTATATTTGCTTCTAAGTGTTCAGTTGTATTTTTTCAAGGTGGCTAGATAAGACATTAGGTCTAACTATCACATGATACTTTAAGTTCTTATATAACAAATAGAAACTGTATAACCAAATAAAACCATGAATACACCAAACTATAGGGCATGAACTTTCAAAAAGGATCTTTTTAATAATTTCATATTGTAATGAATATTTTGTGACTACTACTGTAGTGAACGAAAACTATTTAATGTAAAATCACACAGCGTCTTTGTAAAATATGAAAATCATACATTAAATACATCATTCGCACAGCTTCTTTGCATTGTCCTTTACATACTCCACTATTCCTCTAATTCTGTTGTTATTTCGATTGCTCGTCGATTTCCTCCTGTTCTCGTTATTTCAATATGCTGCTGCCAGGCATTCCATTTCCTATTGCGGCTACATACTACTTATATCTGTCAGCACAAATAGCACACACTACACTGCTACTACAGTCATCACCAAGCAGGAAAATAAACTTTAACATAAAAATCTCTCCCTAAAAATGTACACATACTTGTGCTTCTGTTTTGTCACTTGAAATAACATTCGCAAGAATATCTGCATCAGACAAAAGAATTTCCTTAAGAATTTCATTGGCTCTATCTCGAGACTGCATAAAAATTAAACATGGATAAGCTAGTCCATTAGCCAGTAGATAACGCATCTCTAACAGTTTTCCCTGTTCTGTAGCACAATAACGTAACTCTTGTTTGACAGTAGAAACAGCAGCATTTCTATACAAGTGGTTAGAAAAAAAAGTACATAAAATTTGCAAACTTAGAAACGACGAAAGTAAGGTTAAAAAGAAGTAAGCTTAAGTGATGACAACAGTTAATCCTGTTTGAGAGCGCAGTTATTTTCTCTTAAGTTATATTTTTAGAAAAATAAGAGCATTCAACTACTTAATAAGTGTCCGTTAACTATTGAACCCAGGAATACAATATATCTAATACATTTTGTCATACTACAACTAGAACTAATAAACTGCTGTATGAGAACCGACAGCCATTCAGCCAAGAGTTTACGCTTATGTTTCCTTTAATTATATTTCAAAATATGAAATGATGTTTAAAATTCAAAGATTTGATGAATCAAAAGATAGGTCGAACTTCTATCGTTGGCTTGATTATTTTCAAGAAAGCATATTCATTAGACCATTATTTTTGCAATAATAAAAAATTGATTGAGATTACTTTGCAACTGTCTTCCACAATTTACTGCTTATTTGTTAACTAACAAGTAAACTGTAGTCACATCACAGTGGCTGAATGCTATGACAACTTTCATAGCAAATTTAAACTTTCGTGACACTCCCCTTCTACAACTATTTATGGAATTAAAAAAATCTGAATAAGTTTGCAATAAGTAGATGCTTTGCTTCTGAACGACTATGTGCATGCACAAAAATTTCCAACCATTAGGCGAAAAGTTATCTGGCGAACAAATTAGTAGACAATAACGTACTAAGAAGAGTCTGACGTCAGTAGAACCTTAAGAATACCGAACTTTAGTACATAGTTCAGTCAGTCAGTTAGCTACAACGTAGGACCAGGCACACATATGCATCGGTCCAAGTTGACATACCTAACTAGCACAACAAGATGAACACTGGATTCATAGAAGTAGTTAATTCAATGGTGGTAATATATAAAAAAAGGTTGCATATAAGGGTATAGTACATGAAGAAAGAATTAGTTCGTATAAAGTACATAGTTACCTAACTAGAAATTCACATTTACCTTAAGAGTAAAAATATACAAATACATGTTTTGACTACAAAACTGAGGATATTAAACAGCGCAACACTACTACCCAAACATAAAATAGGATAAACAAGTTTTTCAGGACTGTTACTGATAATCCCTTACTTACCGGATACCTACTCGTAACTGAATTAATTCATATTCCGGACCGTCCAATTTTAAGAGGACAGGTAGCTGATTTCGTGCCCATGAAACAACTTCATCAGGAACAGTAGCCGAAAATAAAGCGACTGTGGGTCTCCTAGTTGATTGTCCAGTGAGGTTTACTTTCTGAATAGATTCAAAAATAGGCGCAACTTGATTATGAAATCCTCGAGGTCGGAATTTTGTCTTGTTACCATGTTCAGTGTTAGAAAAAGATATATCGCTAAAATTGACTTCTAGCATTTTATCGCATTCATCTACTACAAGCCAAGACAATCTAAATTGTGTAAAATAACAAATAATATATTTTAAGTGCAGTTGCGAGATATAAATAAAGCGGCTGATTTACAAAAAGCATTGGTTGGTATTCTGAGACCATTGATAATTCCAATAACTTTTAGGTTTACTTTCAAGACTTGTTTGTATATACATACTACTTTGTTAAAATAAAGGTATTAAAGTGTTTGCAGAAAAACTATTCCTCGGATCATCTATACACAAATTGACATCATCATACGTAAGAATAGACAAACATGCCTATTTTGCTTCTTTCGAAATTTTTTTAGTAAAAAATAGATCGTCAGCAGAGACCAGTGATGATCACTAGAGCTTTAAACCTCAATGACGCCATTCTCGTTTGTCTATGTCAATACATACATCCAGTGTGAATTGATTTACTAACTTAACTCCCAAATCAGTGGTACAAATATGGTGATGATAGATAAATTATTAAAAGAGAGTACTAAATCCAAACAGCATAAATATAAAATGGCTAAGGCAGTTTTATGAGAGGCTGTAGTTGATCGTGAAGAAGTGCCCAAGAAAGGACCATACCATCCTGATGGGAGATCTAAACGTCAAAGTCGGAATGGACAACATTGGGAATGAAGATATCATGGGAAGACATGGACTGGAAGGAAAGAACGAGAATAGCAGGCACAATATTCCCCCATAAACGCATACACAAAACTAAATGAGTCTCACCGTATTGCACTACAGAGAACAAGATTGACTATATTTACATCATTAGAAAATTCAGGTCAATGGAAGACATGATAACAAATAGGGGAGATGACAGCTTCAGAAACAACCTGGTTGCTTCCAAGATAAGACTTAAGCTAGAGAATTACTGGACAACTAGGGAAACAGCATTAAAAGGTTTGATATAACCTTCCTTTGGGATACTAATAAACTAATACTAATAAACTCAGCCAGCTAAGGATAGCAGCACCTACAGACTATCTTATAGATGTCACTCCACCAACGATCGAGGAAGTCAGAATGGCCATCAGACAAATCAACAATGGGAAAGCAGTGGCACCTGACAACATACCACCTGAAGCACTGAAGTCACACACAGAAGTAAATGCAATCATACTCCACGTCCGATTTAGGAAGATTTGACACGACGATTAAGTCGCACCGACAGACTAGAAAGAAGGATATCTCGTCAAGATAACAAAAGAAGGAGATCTAAGCAAATTTGAGAACTAAAGAGGAATCACACTACTCTCAGTACCAGGAAACGTTTACAACAGTGTTGCTAAACTGGACGAGAGGTTCAGTAGATGCCCAGCTTCAAGATCAACAGTCCGGGATCCTTAAGGGTCCTTCGTACGCAGACCAAATCGTAACACTACGGATCATTGTTGAACGATCAATTGAATGAAATTCGTCATTATACACCAACTTCCTTGACTATGAGGCGTTTCAGTGTGGATACGGGAACGTTATTTAACATCCTTCAACAGTATGGTACGCCTGAACAGATCGTCAACATCATCCGGAATTCGTACTACGGACGACACTGCAAAATCATGCATGGAGGCAAGCTAATGAATGCATTCCAAGTGAAGATCAGCGTCAGACAAGGTCGATCAATCTCGCCCTTTTTTCTTATGGTGATCGATTGGACTATGAAAACCTCCACCTCTCAAGGGGAGCACGGAATACAATGGACAGTTTGTATGCAGCTAGACGATTTGTATTTTTCAGATGACCTAGCTCTTCTATCCCATATACACCAACAGATGCAGGTGAAGACAACTGGTGTAGCAGCAGCCTCTGCAGCAGTAAGCCTCAACATGCATAAGGGACAAACCAAGATCTCCAAATACAACACAGAGAACACCAATCCAATCACACTTGATCGAGAAGCTCTGGAAGATGTGGGAATTTCCACGTACGTGATCAGCATCATCTACGAAAAAAGAGGATCTGATCCAGACGTAAGGGCAGCACTCCTACAGTTGAAGAACATATGGAACTCAAAACAAATGTCAGCCAACACTAAAGTCAGAATCTCCCATACGAATGTCGAGACAGTTCTAGTGTATGGAGCCGAAGCTTCGAGAACTACCACAACCGTCATTAAAAAAGTACAAGTATATTTAAACAATTACCTACGCAAGATACTCAATGTCCGTTGGTCGCATTCTATCAGCAACATCCTACTGTGGGAGAGAACAAACCAACTTCCAGTTGAGGAGGGGATTAGAAGAACTCGATGGAGGTAGATGGGACATTTATTGTGGATATCATCAAAATGCATCACGAGGCAAACCCTAACTTGGAATCCTGACAGGAAATGGTAAGGAAGAAAACTAAGGAACACATCGCGTCGGGAATCGGAGGCGGACGTCAAAAGAATGAATGGCAACTGGAAAGGATTTCCTAGTACAAAGTTTGTCAAAGAGTGTTGGTGGATGGCCTCTGCTTCTCTATCAGGTGTAGATTAGGTCATTAAACCAATTTATCGCATAAAACTTTCCACGCTACGGGTAATTTTCTCCTTGACCACACACTGTTTTCGATAAAGCAAATGAAAACCCAATATATTCGAACAAAATAAGCTGGTTAGCATAAAATTCTAGAAACGACGCATATAGGAATCTACTTTAATGTAGGCTATGGTTAGTCTACTGAGTATGAAATTCGGTGAATGGGGAAACAGGTAAGGAAATTTGTTTCATGTAAAATAGTTTATGAAAGCTAACGACAGCAAACAAACCTGGATAAATCAATGGGACAGTGTTCTGATGGAAGAGACAATAGAGTACTTAATCGACTAGGGGTAGAAATGAGGATTTTAGTGCTTGAGTGTAATTTTAATTCACGAACTTTTCTTGATTTCGTTGTTAAAACATCATTTTCAGCAACGTTCTTTGTCCTCTTTCTGCAACGAACAAGATAATGCTTTTTGTGCAACGCAGCTATGTAACAGTCTGCTTGGATTCCAGAAAATAGCCTAATAGCCTCGGAACGAATTTGATGCATTAGTTCCTGCGTTGGAGCCAAGATCACAGCAAATGGGAATATTTTATGTTTCGATGATGTCTTCTCAGTTATATTGTCAATGGGCTCGGAATTTCCAGAGGAATTTGTACGTAGCAACTGAGTGAGCACTGGGAGAAGATAAGCTGCTGTTTTCCCGGAACCCGTTGGTGCACATGCAAGTAGGTTACGGTGCTACAAAAGCACAATAGGGAACACAGTGAAGGTTTATCACAATGATCTTGAAAACCGGTCAATTTATAATAGAGGAAAGGATTAAAAGAGCCAAATATCTGGTGACTTTGAAACTATAGACTCTTGAGGTGAAAATATTATCTAACTGATTGCGATAGTACACCACTAGATCGTCATCTTACTGTTTTACTCACACTAAAGATGGTAGACAATAACGATTCTGCCTACATCAAATTTGATTGAGAAAAAATTACCCGGGAAATACTAACTACCAGGATGATATGCTCTCATATGTGCTTTTTTACGCCAGCTTTGCCTACAACACTTTTCAATAATGATGCCCCAACCTGAGGTTTGGTAGCAGAATTTATGATGAATTAATAATTGGGTTATAAATTACTATATTTAATTTATATGTTGCATCTTTAAAAATCATGGGAAAATAATCTACCCACGCACTGAGAAATACTGACTTAACATACTAACGATTTAAAAACGATTCTAAAACAAGTAATTACACGAGCTAATGATCTGAATGGTTGATACATAAGTAAATGTTATTGGTTTGTCAAGTTTACGTAAACAATACTTTGTTAAACTTAACGGCCGTAATTCGTATTTCCGTTGCTTGAAAATGCTAAGTCAATTTAATCTGGTCAGCCATATACTAGTTAATGTCATCTATACATATTCTTTATCGAGCCACCTTTTAGATAGTGGTAAAACGCATTGGTAGAACAAAGTCAGCTTACGTGAGAAAGCGATAAGATTTTACCGAAAGTACTGAGTTGTAGCGACTTTTATTTTAAATTACAATACACAGAAAAAGTGGGAACCATTTCTTCACTCATATGCGAACTGGGATCCAGCAGTGCGATGTAATGTTACACTAAGTCGCATTATCCACTAAAGGTACCGATAAAGTTTTAGTACGAATTTTCTAACAAAAACATGAAATACTCGAGTGTAATGCATGTAAATATGATGGTTTATAGCTATGGCAAGAATGAAGCTGAAAATGGGTGAAAAAATTAAGTTACATCAACAGACCAACCTGCATCATAATCGGAATGCTTTGGGATTGTATGGGTGTTGGGGTTTTGTATCCTAGCCCGGACAAGTTATGTAAAATCAGGTCACTAATTTGACAGGATTTGCTCCCAAATGAATAGATGGGCCGAGGTATTTTGCTCTGCTTGTTTATTGCTGAAACTTTGATGTCATGAGATAACCTATACTGTTTAGCTTTTGACGATTTGAATTTTTTCTTCGTATTTACAACCGAAGCATCCACCTTTTAAAAATATTAAGTTTTATACGAGGATTTACATCAAAACCCAACCCAACTAAGTGGTCATCAGCTGGAATATCCATATTTTAACTTAACGGACAAGATACAAACTCTTCAGCTTCAGTATTCCATATTTTCTTCACAACGCCAGTTGCTTGACCGTAGCGTTTTGTTTCATATGAGTGTCTGTTACCATTATTCGATATACGATCTTCATACTTTAAACAATCGTAAAACAAAATATTAAACTTGAATTATTCCATGAACGAATTTACTTGATATTGAGAAAATTTGAGAAAATTTTCACAACCTTTACTATAATGAAACAAGTTATTGAGCAATAATCTCTGCATGGCTTCCAATATCTCCATTTTGTTTGCTTAACGGATAACTTATGTTGTTTTAATATTTTGGTGAATTACTGATTTGAAAATGCTTAAACTAACCTTTTCAACATTATCAGGGGATTTCTCACTGTCTCTTTATGCGTGAAATACATCCGACAGATTTTTACAGACAATAAGTTATCCCTTAATATGAGACCAAACTGTTGCGTCCTAATACCGTATAGATTCACGTATAAATTTGGTATACTTCCTTTATAGAAGTGGTTGTTATAGTGGAAAGAAAATAACTTGTGAGGAAATGAAATAACAGACAACATCTATATTAAAAGTAGCGAATGTAACTGGTCTTTTTGGACTGTTCATCTGCTGCTCTGGCCTGAGATAACCACTTTAATAATATATGTGGTTATTTGTCGTAACCGTATGTTATTTCCTAAGGAAACTGGGACTACATTATCTTGACAGAATATTCTCGATAAGGCTATCTGGTGTTGTGAAAATTCGAGATTACATTGTAACACTTAAATCATGGCGTTATTTCTTTAGAAGTCAACCAAGCCCTGTACAGTGGTATCTCGCGTTAATGTTTACGTTAACTAACAAGCACCTGATCTTCAAAGCTTTTTTGTCATTCAAATAACTTATGGAAATCACACTCAAGCAACTGTGATCGATGTTTGTCCTCCACTCACTTGAGAGTAAATAGTACTTGACAAGCCGAAATACAGATGACTGATGTGTTAATATATTAAAACATTTTAGATCTCTTTCATAATTTGCATTTTCTCTGAACGTTAGCTCAATAGGATCCTGCCTTCAGATCACAGTATGTGACAAAGGTGAACTGGCAAACATGGCATTGGCACTTGTAGTCGCTCAGCATCTTTCGTGACTGTGACGTTTTGGAGCCCATTTCCATTAACGGAATGTCTTTTGAGTGCTTTCGGACTCCGGGACTAATCTATAGCAGTCCAAGGTATCGTATGTTAGGAAGAGTTGATTTGCTTCATTAGCCTGTTGCTGTAAAAGCAAACTGAATTTTAAAATTGTGGTCCCTTGTATCTGGAGAATAATTAATAGTATTCATTACAGTATATGACCTGTAAATCTTTCGAGTCGGTAGGTACTCTTCGTTCTATTGAGAGGAGAAACCGGACTAGTAGTGAATAAGTCTTTATTTAAGTAGTGGTACAGAACACAATGGAGCGTGAGGTCACCCTTTCGAAAACATGGAGCTCTTCAACATGCAGTATAAAATAATATGAAGTGTGATCCCTATACAAAATAAGTAGGTGAACGAATACTCGGGTTTTAATGTTGTGATATTTACTTAGAAGTTTTTGGTCAACTCTTAACCAGTTAACAAAATTTGATAAAAATTTCTGGATCTATCAATCATTTAATAAGTACGAAAGTATGAGCGTTCAAAGACGGTATGAAATCGAGGTCTTACGTGAGGGTAGTGCATTATGTAGTGACCCATTTCCGATAAATCGTAGCTACTATTAACTTTTAAAACAAATTGCAGACATATATGTATACATCATGGACTGGTTCAAACTATTGTGTGACAATATGTGACTCAAGCATGTTTGATTGTAAGGCTGGTGATTATATTGTATATATATGCGTAATTTAACTTGACAATTCACTTACATGAGTTTTAGTATACGCTCATTTATCTCTACCAGAGGAGCTGAGATGTTGACACCCTTGATCCTTTTTTATCATTCTGATATTCCATTATCTAGTCCAGGAGCCTCCATATTATGGTTCATTCATGGTTGTATCGTGTCTGAAACTTACAGTTCGTGGTTGGATTTCAAAGTCAGCAAAAATATCGAACGAAAGTTTGGCAGACATTTGATCATGTTACCGTTAGTTAAACAGTTGGGAATAATATCGTGCTAGTATTGCTGTATCAGTGAATGAGTTTGCTGTAATTGTTGAATAGACATATCCCCGTTCCACTGTTTGTCCCTTATTTCTGTTTTAGCTCCCGGGAATATTTATTTACATTATGAACGTCGATATTCCAACCGCCTCAACCGCTGTCTGTCTATTGTATTATATGTGACCTAGAATGGGAATTTATGTAATGAAACTGGTTATCATCCATTGATTCTGGCCTCTCGTTTGTTTACGTACTAATACCTGTAACAAGTCATTATTATTAATCACCAACGACATATGGGTACATAAGTGTTGGGAAGAAACCATTTCAGGTTTCTTCAAAAATGAAATAATGCACAAGTTTCAGCAGTGTAAGCATTATATTTGCCATATTTGAAAAGAAGAGTAATAATAATAGAGTAAAAATAAACCAGGTTCTGTGTAATTGAGAAGAATATTGAATTGAGTTTAAAGAAGGAAAGGAAGAAAATAAGGGAATAGAAATAAAGGAGACGTGAAATACGCAAATAGTTTAATAGGCGTGTTTATGAACACAAAACAAGAATAAACGACTATGTATGTATGGTCAAATTAGTAACAACAGTAAAATAGAAAACGATTAAGAAAAAAACTTGTTATTGTAGTAAGATATGACGCTAGAATAAGTGTTTGTGCAGTCATCGTTTGGAGTGATGCTGTGAAAACCTCAATTAAGCAAAAAGGATAATGAAATATCAATATGTATGGGTCATATATACATAGTGAAGATAAAACGAGTTTGGAAAGTTAATCCATCTGAAAAACAAATTATTGTCTTGATTACAAACTTCGCAAACTTTAGAATAATATTTATTTAGATGCAAAAAGAGAAAGAAAATGAATGAACACCTTGTGAAGGAGTTAAACTATGGTAATAATAGTAATTGTGTAATGAATATCGACCTCTAAAGTAAACCAAAAATTTAAAAAAAATAAGATGAAAAAATTCTTTGAGTACACTCGGATAACTACACGTAGATTTATGTAATAGTATGCAGAGGGAAACCGGATATTAGTTTACACATTTGTGCAATAATAATTAAGAATGATGCTATGAAAGTCACAATTAACTGCAAAGGATAATCAAATACAAATTTCTTTGTTATGTTTATACGATAAAGATGAATTTAATAAGTTAATTTATGTGAGTGTAACATAGGATAATTTTTTGTTTTTAGTTATAGATTTTGAATGTTTAGGAAAAATATATGGTTAGAAAGATAAGAAGAGATGAAAAGATTACCTATTGTGTCGGGGGACCAATAATTATATTAATAACAGTACTAATTATAGATACGAACATAAGCAGACTTCATATATTAGGATGAATAGAAATAAAGTAGACGTGAAAAGCTTCAAAGGTTACATTTTGAATTTCAGCCAATTAGATGGATGACAAACCTTGTTTATATGAATTATTATGAAGCACACTGATGTTAAATAGGTGACACAATCCACTTTCAGAAAGAAAATCATCAAGAAGACTTCTGAACCTGGTTGTAGTTTCACTGCAACGGAGGTTCACTGGCAGTCTGTGCCACATGGTTGAGTAGCGAATAACGAAAAAATTCTCACGAAAGTTTGTGTGGGTTTTTGGAATTGCTAGAATATTTTCCTTATTGCATAGATTGTGGGATGATATCATATAGTATAAAGGGGTGGATACCGAAGAGTGGGAAATATCATTAATAAGCCAGTAGATAAAGACAGGGTTTGGTTGTAAAATCTAATTAGTGTTGGCATTCATAGTCACCAAGTAGCTTTTAAACTTCTATTACAGACAATATATATATATATATATATATATATATATATATATATATATATATATATATATATACAAAGCATTATAATTTTTGTTAAAACTCACAAATTGTTTGTACCAACTTGCCCTTATAGCTATCTTGTAACACAAAACATGTGAAATTTGTCTTCATTATTCCTCTTGATGATTGTGTAAGAAGTGGGTTGTAGTGCTGATCTGGTTGTTCAAGGTGCACAGATATCTGTCAGTAGTCAAACTGAGGGGCACCCTATCTGAACGTGAACATATCTAGTTTCCCAAACACCTATAATTAGGACTTAGAGTTCAAACATCAATTAATTATTTCGAAACTTTACAGGAGTATGAGAAATCTGGAACGTCTCTCATGGCAACGGGCTAAAATTAAACTTCCGAGAATATGAAACTTCTTACCATGGAAAAACTAACAGAAAGATGACCCACGTGACAAAGGTCATATATCAGCACCATAAAATGTGAATAATTATTGAGAAATTTGCACACTAACGGGTCATAAACGTGAAAGAAGCTAGGAATTCAGTCACACTTATCATCAAGCATGGATCACAGATATCATGAAAATAGTGTGTACAGCACACATTTTGTCATTTTGCTCATGAGTTTCACTATTTTCAACAATCCACATTGGTAGTTAAAATTTAGGGTGTGGAGTAACTATACTTATGAGAACTTTGGCTAATTGTGATCGCAGAATATATATAAATATATATATATATCTATCGAGCAGCTGTTTTACCTTGAAGTACTGCACTACGCGTCCAGTCTATCAACGAAAGTTACAGCGTCAATATATTAGATGGAGATAGAAGGTATTGTTAATTTACGATTCTTCCACTTTCTTATTGATTAGATGTACATTATTTTAAGTTTCATTCACGCGAGGTGTAGAATAACTTTCCTCTGTTGACTATGATTTTAAGGCTTTGAAATTGATGAACTTTGAATTTATGACACCCGGTGTCCGAAACTAATGCTAATAAGCAAACTTCGATACTCAGGACTCCAAATGGCGACTTAATGGGAAGATTAAAAGTGTATAGAGAAGTTTGTTGGGTTTAAATGGTTCATATTCATAATCAGAAATTTTTATATATGAATACATATCCAC